AGAGAAGTTCTGCAAATATAATCATTTAAAATGAGCTAATTTGACCCTCCTCCGCTTCACTCTCACCTCCCTTCATCATCATCTTCCTCCTCTTGGCACTTGAGTAACTCTGCTGTGACTGAGCTGCAGCAGCAGCAGTGCAACTTCTCAGCACTTTTGGTTCCAAGCTGCTTTGAATATCTCTGAAACTAACCAATTACAGAGGAACACACATATGTTATGTCTTCTAATCTGAAATACTTTTTTTACCTTTATTTAATTATCCTGATTTTGAATGTATGTGAAATATGTTTACTTATCCTTTTGCAGCCACAAATCCAAACTTTACACAACAGGATTTACTGACCATTACACACACACACACCAGATAATGATTATTCAGGAGTGGTGACCTTTCTTTCAAAAGAACATCTGTCTTGACACTCAATGCTGGAGGGAGGAGAACTGCTATAAAGATCACATCTTTGTGCCGTAGAGTTAAAGGTGCAGTATGTAAGAATGTGGTGAGAGTTTTAGTGAGAGAATCCCAAAAGAGTCTAATGTTTCAGTCATTTTGGAAGGAAGGTTACACTGAAATAGGGATGGGTACCTTTGACATTTGAATCGATTCGGTACTAATTCCCGGTACCTAGGAATCGATACCGGTACTTAACGGTACCAATTTTCGATACTTTTGAGTGTTTATTATTTTAATTCTCTTTTATAATTAAATATATATTTTTCTCAATATATAACAATATTTGATAAATATCACGATAAATAACATTCAACTGTTTGTATTTTAACATCGTTCTTGTAGTTTTATAAGTTGATAATTAAATTGAAGCAAACATCTTTACTGTGAACTAAATTTACTGTGTATTTTCATTCCTTTTGTCGTCTTTTTTCATTTGATTTTTCCTACTGGGAAGTTAGAATTTCCAAGGAGACAGGGGCGTGTCCAGGGAGTGGCCTGGGGTAGCACATGCCACCCTTAGAATTTGATTTGGCCACCCCAGGTGCCACCCCACTAAGTTTCAGTTTAAATTGACTTTACATTGTCGACAAAAGGCTTGGGTTGTAAACTCCAAAATAGTGTGTCGTTGCTTGCACCTTTCACCTTGTTTTCTAGCCCAGGTGTGTAGTATTAATAATACTTAATATTTTTTCATGTTCACATAAATAGTATTTAGAGTCCCACTCAACTCCAGTTGGTGGCAGTAATGCAACAAGAAGTGACTTGCTAACCACCATAAAAGTAGAAGATGAAGAGGAAAAAAAATGGTGATTGTGCAATGTGAAACTCAAAAATTCACTAGAAAGTAAATAAATAAATAAACGATTTGTGTAAATAAATAAATAAGCATAACCATTGGTGCCACCCATGAATAAACAAGTGCCCCACATGGGCCACCCCATTTTAAAAGTCCTGGACACGGCTCTGCAAGGAGAAAGCGAGCGCACCATTAGCTGATAACAACGGTGGCAATGGAAGCTAACATATCAAGCTAACGTTATCCTAAACAGTTTATTTAACTGCTGGAGCAGATTAAAACGATGATGCCTCACACTTAGATCGTTGTCGCTGGTTTTATCTTCACCCAATCACCCGTTGCATTTAGTAAAGTGAAGACAAACTTTAGAGCGCGTTCATGTTCTTCTAGTCGGAAATTCGGAGTTCTGAAGAGAAAGCAAACGCACCATTAGCGAAACGGAAGCTAACATGTCAAGCTAACGTTATCTTAAACATTTTATTTACCTACCAGAGCAGATTGAGATGAGGATGTCTCACTTAGATCGTTGTCGCTGGTTTCATCATCACCCAGTTACCCATCACATTTAGTGAAGTGGACCCAAGCTTTAGAGTGCGTTCTTTCTACCATGCTGCTCTGTTTACAACTGGCTCGCAGCGACCGACGACATAACGCTCTTGCGCATGCGCAGCTGTCTTGGCAAGTTCTCGTTATGATGGACGGGTACCGAAACGAGGCACCATTTGAAATTACGTGAATCGGTGCTCGGTCGGTACTATGGAATTCGGTTGGTACCTTAAAAAGTACCGAATTCGGTACCCATCCCTACACTGAAACATATTTCATATCCAGCTGGCTGTGGGGATTGTCCGTTTGTCTCCTTTCAAACTAAGGAAGGAGGGACGTAACTGCTGTTTACCATCAGTGAGTGTGGGGTTGCCCTTGTCTCCTGCGCGCTAATACTGCAGCGCCGATAATTGAAATTTGACGATGGCCAGCAAAAACATTATTTAAAATGTTAAAAAGTTATTTAAAGTGGTTGTAGTAACCAAATTTGACCACAGGATGCAATTTTTACTTCATTTCTTCATAATGCATCTTTAATCACAATATTGTCCGTTTGCTTGTCTTTTTGTCTCATTTCTACTTGAATGAGGTTTATTGTTGCTTATCAGATAATTTTTCAGAATGAAAATGTTCAGTTATTTAAGTGTTATTTGTAGAAAATATATTATTATTATTATTATTATTATTATTATTATTATTATTATTTATTATTATTTATTATTATTGTCGCCCAAGGTTGTTTGGTGCATAATTTACTCAGCACGATGCAAATTTTCAGAAATACAACCAAATAAAAGCAAAATTTCTAAATGAATAAAATGTTGAGAGCCTCAGGTTTGACATGTAAGACGAGTATGTTTACATTTCCAAAGGCACGGGTCGTTCAATAAGGGTGTCTTCGGATTTAAAGGGCATTAATGAATCCTCTGCCTATTCTTAGCCTCGGATCTGTCTCACCCTGCGGGCGTTGATAAGACCAGAGTCGGGGTGGTTGGCGTCTGGTTTGTGTTCAGCCTGCTGTGGACGGATAGAAGTGTGTATAAATAGCTCCTCGGATAGGAAACGCGGCTGAAACATGAGGAGACAAGCTGGCTCGCAGCGATGATCATTTTTCATGACTTGTGATTTTTAGACAGTTTTATGGCGTTTTTTTTTTAGACATTACTTCATGCGTCTCAGACTGGAGCCGGAGGAGGGGCAGAAACAAAGCTGACTCAACCAAATTCCGTGTAAAATAGTCTATTTTTCCGAACGCGACGCAGTTTTTTATTTTTAATTTTAATAAACGCGTCGCTCCCACGAACGCCAATTTTTATCGTCATTTTCAACGTGTGCACCTATTAACCCTGTCCGACGGAAACTAAACCAAGAGGGAACCAAACAAAGGGAGGGGGAAGAGGCGGAGAAGGGGGAGTCTGCGGAGCAACGACAGTAAAGTCGGGAGTAGTGAGGAGCCACTCCGCATTGTTCGGCGTCTGAAACACACGGTGGGCTTTTGTTTCTTTCAAACTGGGACGGAAAACCCCCGAAACGCCGTCAATTCTGGATTTCTTGATCCGCTTCCTGTCGTGCAGGATGAGGTTTAAGAGGAACGCTTCGTATACCTTAAATAGGTGAGTGTGATGTGCGCATCCGTAACTTGTGTGTGTGTGTGTGTGAGGGGGAAAGAGGAGGGACACGCACATTTCATCATGACCTCACCTCATAAATCAGCTGATTTTCTTTATGTTTTTCCTCCGAGCCACGCGGATCATCGATACTATTCTTAATTATTGGGACACTTTTGGTATATTATAGAAATTAAACTCAAACATGTTTTTATTTTATTTAATACAAATGAGTAACACTGCATTTCGAGCTAAATTTGATCCTAAGGGGACTGAATTGTGTCTTTTTAAATATTTGGTGATTCTTACCTATTTGTCCGTTAGTGTAATCCAATCTGAGGGGTGGATCGGGAGAAACCTGTCTGTCTTGCTTTAATGGGTTGGGCTCAAGTTTTGGTTCTCCCTCATCCTTTTGGGAAAATATTACTGATTTTTCACCTATTTGCCTGCACATCTATAGGGGACTGACACCTGTAACTGTGGTTGATAGTTTACAATAAATTAAGATTAAATAATCTGATTAAATCTTAAAATAATCAGGAAAATCTGCGAAGCTCATCCTAAAAGTATTTCATCACCCAGTGCCTGCGTGGTTTCTGAGTTTAAGCCATATTTTCTGGATAGATCTCTCTTTTTGGATCATTCTACTGTTAAATGATCGTATTGCATCCAAGTTTATTGTTAAAATGTCTCTAGAGTTCTTTATTTTGGTTTGTGATGGTTAATGTATTATTTTAGCCCTGTCCATAATAATTACACCTCCAACAACTGTATTTGTTCAATAATATTTAAGATCTTTAGCTCCTAGAAGTACCTGGAAATACCATTTTGTCTCAACAAGATTTCCAGACTTCCAAGAACTCTAACGATGTAGTGTGCGCTCTTTGATTCCAGCATTCAATCTTGATCTAGCCAACGATTAAATAAAAGTTCAGAACCTGTAGTAGAGCTTTAATGCCTTTCAGTAGATGACCATGATGAATTTTTGCCAAATTCTGATCTGAACCTTTGCATTTTTTCTACATGTGTTGCAGCGTGAACAATTTGCTCTACATTCTCGTCATTTTAACCTCCTAACCCACTTTTTCAATTGAATTAGTCGCCATGCCTTCCATTCATTTGTTTGTTTTAAACTCGGTTATGACAGAAAAGAAAATAACTTTTCTTCATCTACTTGTTTTTCACCTTAACTGCGTTGTCTCGATTTGCCTCCTATAAGCCGGGTCTGCCCCGGATGTCTTTGCTTTGATCGTTTCTCTGTATTTTCTGATAAGGCAGAGGGTTGTGAGGAAGTTGAGACAAAACTTTGCTGACCAAGACCCAGAAGAATTTGGTCACATATTGTTGAGAGTGACGGCTGATTTAATGGCGCTTTCATTTATAACGCGTTCCCATGATTCTGAGCACATTGCTTTCCTCTGCACTTAACACACACACACAACACCCACATCCTGACTGTTAGGTGCTGAAACACTAAAGGAGCTAATGAGCTCTAAGCTCCAGTGCTCGTTTCTCCACACAGAAAGTGCTCAAAAGACAGATGTTATCGTTACCCCCCCCCCCCCCACACACACACACACACACACACACACACACATACACACACACTCCTGTTTCTGTTTTCATTTAGGCATTTAGGAAATAGTGTGCCATAAAAGTGTTGAATTGTTGCACCGTGGGGTGATTTTGTGTTAGCGATGGAGTTTGAGAGGGACTGTTAGCTGGAGCTTCTGGTGATGGGTCTCCAGAGAGCAGGAGGCAGGAGAAGAAGGTGCCAGTGCAGAAATAGGGATGACGTCATTAGATGAAGAGCACATCAGCGGTTCTTTATCATCCTTTATCTGAAAATGTACAAGTGCAGAAAGATTCTGCAGGAACAGCTAAGCGATGGTGCTCAAAGCCATTTAGTGCAGCAGTATTATATGACAGCATCTGCTTTCTTTATAAATCCATCCCACAAGTCAGAGCTTTTCTCTCTTTTTTATTTTTTTGATTACTCAGCGACAATGGAAGCACTATCATGCCCCTGCAGTTGTTATGTAATTGCTACAGCTGAAGGTGACTGCTGGCTGTTCCTGCCTCCTCCTTGGCAGGTTGTGGCACTTTTGTTTCCAGTGACAGCAAAGTGAACCTGGCATCAGTATTCTGCAGCATCAGTGGCCTTTTCCATGGTCAGTTAATCTTGTGTTTGTGTCTGTCAAGCCCAGTCCCATCTGCAGTCTTCGATTACATCAGCACACACCTCTTTGCACACTGCAGTCCCTTTTAAGTGTTGGTATTTTTCAATTTTTTGTTTAGGAGGGGGGGTGCAGAAGGGGATCGCAGAGAGATGAAGGGAGTGATTGCTTTTTACTGATGATTTAGGAGGAGGTCACAGAGCGATGTCGCAAGTCCCATAACTCACACTGCGTCCTTTACCCCGTTCACCTGCGTCATAGATGGAGAACTCTGCAGCGATTGGCTCGTTTCTGGGGGTTTGTTGGTTGAGCTTGCACCTCCCACACTGCACCTCTGCATCAATTGTGTGAATGAAAAGTCACGGTTGTTGTGCAAGTTTGTGATTAATGGTATGTATCCTGCTCTTTATGCACATTTACTTCCTTCTGGGTTTCACTTTTTCTGTTCCGAGTTGCACGTCACCAAGAGCAAAAGGATAAATATGTTGCACTGATTAAACGTCCAGAGAGGTTTGACCGGATTTGACTCAGAGCTGTGTTTACCAAACGGGTTTTGTTTGGTCTGCCCGAGCGATAGGTGGGGGTGGGATGTTTAGGATGTATACAGATGGGAGAGATTGCTCCCTCCTCTTTTCTGTCTCCCCTGCAGTCCGCGCGGTACTGCCCAGCAGTCAGCAGTTTGTTTATGGGACTCTGTTTGCCAGGCTAATCTTCCCGCCTTTCAAGCGGGAGAGAGAGAGCGAGAGAGTGGAAGGGAGAGAAGGAGCAAGAGTGTGAAAGTGAGGCAGTTGCAGTAGTTGCCAGGGACACACTCAGAAGTGAGTTTGCTGCTGTGATTTATTTTATTTTTAAATAAAAGTTTCACGCGTGCGACGGCCCATCTGCTTACGTGACCTGCGTTGTATGGTGAAGATCGCCTCAGCAGCTGTATGCGCGCAGAGTGCTGCACTGGAGCTGGTGCACCTGTAGCCCAGTTTGCGGAAGAGGAGCGCATATTTAGGGGGTAGCAAAGGAGAAAAGGGGAGTGCTGGTCAGCACATCATCACCACCACTGCAGTTCTGCTTCATCACCTGCTGGATGGGGGTACTTGTGTGCTGCGACTGTTTCTTCTATAGGTAGTTATCATTTCTTATGTCTTAACTGTCCTTCGTCTTTGCTCTTATTGTTGCGTCTCTCGCTGCATTACCTAAATTATCATACTTTCCTTCACTTCTCCATCCCAGTCGCCCCCCCCTTCCCAACGCTCATTCACTTTCTCTGTTATTGTGCTGCGGTTTGGAGGAGACATTTAAGGACAGCGCTGCTGTAGCAGTAGAGATTCTGCTGTAGTCAGACACTTGAGGTATCGAGGAGGAGAGGGAATTGCGGACACGGGACACCAGTGGCACACAGCCAGCCTCCTATAGGACCGGTGAGGAGAGCTAGGCGTTGCTGGCTATGGGGTTTGTTTTGGAGGATGGGTTAAGGACTAATTGGAATGAAATGGAATGCAGCCAAAAGGCAGCCAGTCGGTCGAGCTTGGACAACTTTTCCTCCTCTAGTCCTGCCGCGTGCCCCATTTGGTAGCGTGGTGCTGTTTGTTTGGGACACAGTGTTCCCATATAAGGCGATGAGAATGTGTTTTCTCCAGTTTTGGTTGTTTACGTTGGACACTTTGCCCTTTTCTTACATCTACTCACCATTCTGTAACCTTCACCTAGACCTCAGCTCAGCTCTCCAGAGTCCAAGACCTTCACATGAAGCGGCGTTTAAAAGTTTTATTTATTTATTTTTTGTAAAAAGTGGAAAGATTGAAGTTGGACTTTCTGGCTGCTGGAGCAGAACAAATCTGGTTCTCCTCTTTTGTGGTTGAGGGTTTTAGTCGGCCTCATCATGTCTTAAATGTTGTATAAAGTTTAAATATATCTTCCAACGCTAAAGGAGCATTTTGGTGAGGGTAAAATTGTAGCTTGAGCAGAGACGCAGCTGGTTTACATTATTCCTCAGTGATTCTGAACCTTACTGAAACTGTGTGTGTGTGTGTGCGTGCGTGCGTGCGTGCGTGTGTGTGTATGTGTGTGTGTGTGTGTGTGTGTGTGTGTCAGAGATTTAACATGTGTTGAATGCAGTCTTGCCAGAATGAGTCAAGGGTGGGACGTTGAAGCCACATGGGCTCATTAAGCCAAAATAGACCACTGGGTCTATTTTTAGCCTTTCCCCGCCCATGTCATCCAGCCAATCATATGGCCTTCAAAGTGATTTATATGTGCTTTAATGTATGTCTTTTTTTGGGAGGCACACCCACCTGAAAAGGTCCTTGTTGACAACATTTCCAGCTTTCAGCAGCAGCGATGTGTGGCAATAGAAATGTCCCCCGACGCTTCTGCAGCCACTGTCAGCTCTGACATCACCAGGTTAAGAATGGAGCCATTGAAGAGTTCGTCATCCTGTGACGTCAAGTAGAACTTGATCTGGCTACCAGTTTTGGCTCGTGTCTGAAAAATGCTATTTGATAGATTTTGATCAGTTTGTTTTTATTAACTAAATGACGTAAAGTTGGTAAACTCCTGAGTTTGTTCAGCTTTTGTCAATGATGCAAAAGGTTTAGGATTAACTTTATACTAAATCAGAGTGTTAGACGTTAGAAAGCCAAGTCCTTCTTTGATTTAGGTTTAATGTCTCTGTGCGTTAAAGAATAGTCGACTTGATGAAACATAAGAACATTCAGCCCTCGAGGCTTCAGCACATGACATGTGTGTGTGTGTGTTTGCTTGCTTGCCTTGAATCAGTGAGTAATTTTTCTAATGTGTGCTGTGGAACAATAGGTTCGAGTGTATCATCCCAGAGTGTGTTGCATTAGTGGAGCAGACCCTACTGGATGCCATGTGTCTCTCATTAGGCTCTTGCGCGGGCCTGGCTGCTGGGACGTTCAGCCCCAACAACAGCACCATTCTCCACCAACAAACCCTGCACTCCTCCTCCTCCTCATCTTCATCATCCTTTCAAGGCCCTAAACTGAGTCAAGATCAACTTTTTGATTTCTTTGAAATTAAATGAAGAAGAAGAAAAAATGGCCACGATGAGTGATTTCTGATGAGATCCTTAAGCTCGGCCTGGAGGAGTTGTGACTTTACCGTACAAGTGTCCTGATTTGTCATCGTGGCTCTGTGAGATTTTTCAAACATTAAACCAAACATCTAGATCGACTTGGACATTTTCTGAGAATATTTCTAAGAATGCTTGTTGAAAATCAGCTTGAAAATAATCAGTTAAAACTTGATTATGTGACTCAAAATGTAATTAGTTTATTTTTCTATTGACCACATTTCTCAGTACAGAAAACAGTTCGCCACCAAGTTGGACTCGACTAAAACCTTCTTACTCTCATTTTAAGACCTTCAGTGTTTGTGGGCTTTTTATGTCAGAGGAAAGTATTACAACTTTCACTTAGAATCACACTAAAATAGTACGTAGGGCGCCTTTTTGCATACTAGTTATTTGGGGCAAGTTGCAAATTCAAGCAAATGTGAGATTTTGGCAAGTTACCTGCTCGCAATTTCGCCTCAGTTACCAGTATGTCTCATTTTATTTACAGCCCCTCCCAAAGTTGTCTCACAATTCTCTCACCTTGTCACTAGGGATGGGTACCGAATTCGGTACTTTTTAAGGTACCGACCGAATTCCATAGTACCGACCGAGCACCGATTCACGTCGTTTCAAACGGTGCCTCGTTTCGGTACCTGTCCTTCATAACGAGAACTTGCCAAGACAGCTGCGCAAGAGCGTTATGTCGTCGGTCCCTGCGAGCGAGTTGTAAACAGAGCAGCATGGTAGAAAGAACGCACGCTAAAGCTTGGGTCCACTTCACTAAATGTGATGGGTAACTGGGTGATGATGAAACCAGCGACAACGATCTAAGTGAGACATCCTCATCTTAATCGGCTCCGGTAGGTAAATAAAATGTTTAAGATAAAGTTAGCTTGATTTGTTAGCTTCCGTTTCGCTAATGGTGTGTTCGCTTTCTCCTTGGAACTCCGAATTTCCAACTAGAACATGAACGCCCTCTAAAGTTTGGCTTCACTTTACTAAATGCGATGGGTGATTGGGTGAAGATGAAACCAGCGACAACGATCTAAGTGTGAGGCATCATCGTTTTAATCTGCTCCAGCAGCTAAACTATTTAAGATAACGTTAGCTTGATATGTTAGCTTCCATTGCCACCGTTGTTATCAGCTAATGGTGCGTTCGCTTTCTCCAAGGAAATTCTAACTTCCCAGTAGGAAAAATCAAATGAAAAAAGACGGCAAAAGGAATGAAGATACGCAGTAAATGTAGTTCACAGTAAAGATGTTTGCTTCAGTTTAATTATCAGCTTATAAAACTACAAGGACGATGTTAAAATACAAACAGTTGAATGTTATTTATCGTGATATTTATCAAATATGGTTATATATTGAGAAAAATATATATTTAATCATAAAAGAGAATTAAAATATTAAACACTCTAAGTATCGAAAATTGGTACCGTTAAGTACCGGTATCGATTCGTAGGTACCGGGAATTAGTAGGATCGATTCAAATGTCAAAGGTACCCATCCCTACTTGTCACTAGGCACTTCTTGTGAAATAAGTTGGTGAATCTTAACCTGGCAAGCCAAACACGTATGATATAAGAGATAAGATGTATGTGAATAATATATGTAGTTTGGCCACGACCCATAGAAAGAGCTTGGTGAAAGGGGCAGAATCTACGATTGTCTTTTAAGCTGTCTCTATATGCTTTTGTACAAAGAATAACGCAATGTGCTGAGCGCTACTGATGTAAGTCAACGGGGCAGTCCGCCGTACTCTGTCAAAGAAGACGCAAAGACATCATTTTTCTAAATTAAGGACTCTTTTCTGCCCTTGGCTCAAAGGCAAAAAAAAAAAACCAGTCTAAATAGTCCTAAGTTGATGCCAAAGCCATTTAAAATCATCCTGCCCACCAAACCAATAGAGCGCTGTGATTGGCAAGACACGAGACTGCTCTGGCCTGCTGAGGCTCCCGTGAAGCGTGGCTAGACCAACATGCAGAGCAAAGCCAGTTTGCTTTGGCTACTGTCTGTCTAGATTTCTAGACCAGGCAAATCTGGTGTGAAACTATTTTGAATGCCTTTCTAAATGTTTTCGCCAAAAGACAAACGTTTAGGGAAACTCAACGAAATCAAATCAGTCTTTGAGATGATAAACAGACTTTAGACTCGGGTTTTGCTGCAGATTGAAGAGATTTATCAGCTTTAACATTGCTGACTGTGACCCTCCCAACTTTCACCTGGACCCCCACACTGCAGAGGGCAGACCTCACACCAGGCACCAGCTGATGATGCTGACAGACTGTGTGTGTGTTCAGAAAAAGCCTTGTTCCGCTGGCTCAGGAGGAAAAGGAGAAAGAGATGGCCTTGCAGTAACCTCACCTCAACATTTAGTTCTTCACAGTCAGCACACAAAGTCAAACGCACTTAAATTACAGTTATATGCTCGAAGTACCAGAGCCACTTTGTATTTTCTCCTGTATTATTCCATTTTGCTGCTGCTAGCATGACTAAACATGCATAAAATTAGTATTTAACCTCTAGCAGACATATTTTCTATAAAAAATAGTCTGTGGTGGCAGGTGACCTTTAGGAATTATAAACCTGAGTGGTGGTCCACTTGGCCACTCAGTAATGGCCTCCTACTTTGTGATTTTGGGTGTTGAATGGTCCAGTGGCATGAAAAGGGTACACAGAACTCTGTACCAAAGCCCACGTGCCTGTGGACTTTCTGGGCTCTAAAGGTAGCGTGAAAATCGGTGCTAGAAGTTTTTGGAGCGGTCTGTAGCTTCTCCGTTCAGCCTTTGGGAACAAGAGGCCCATTTAAAGGGAAACGGGAAGGGCCAGGGCGCCTCACTTCCTGTTTATCAAGTTTGTCCCAAGTATGGCTGAGAGGGAGCGGTGGTCTGCAGCCTAATTTAATATAGAATGGTGTTAATTAGGTCAAACATCCTTATTTGATCTCTTAGTGAAGCTAACCTGTATTTTGCACATAAGCTGCTGCAGGGCCACCTAGAACTTGCGTCCATTTGTGTCCAGAATCAGATCTAAAGGTGTTGAACTTC